CCTTCTTACAATCTATTTCCCATATACAACATAAATCAGGCCTTGTCATTCCCCTGCTTAAACTCTCCATGACTCCTGCCATCTGCCCAGTGGCCAATCTAGAGGCATCAAAACCTCCATAAAGTAAATGTGAAATATGGTACCAGATAGCTCAAGTTTTCACATACACTGTCATATATATTTAGAAAAATTTAAATGAGGCCTCTTTGAGTTCAGTGAATATTGCAATCTCATGTGGCAGCTAAAAAAAGGTACAAGCAAAAGAAAAGCAAATCCAGCAACTAAAAAAGATCTCGTCTGTTCCATTTTTTTAAAAAATCCATTATCAACATAATGGCCTTTGACCTGGAGTGTGTCTGAGTGGGAGACCTTCAGGCTTCAGAGATAAAAGCAGGGACAAAAAAAGAGAGATCGTGAGAATGGGGAGAAATAGTGACAAACAGGAGCTAAACCTGGGGGGAAAAAAGTGGGAACCATTTTGAGAGACTATTTTTGATGCATATTTGGAAATGCTAGATAATAAGGCCAATGTCCTCCTTTGTTTACCCTGCAAATTCTTCACTTAATTCTATATTCCTCACCAATGCTAATGGGTAGGTGGAATTTTGTTTCTGTGAACCTCAAAGGGAATAGCTGACATTACAGATACTACACAACTGTTATTTATAGAAAATTAGTTTATCTTCACTCTCACTAGATAAGTATCAAGCAATACTTTCCAAACATAAATCACTCTGAAGAGGCATCAAATCATTCTTGCCTGTCTGGATGCTCACATGGATCTCAGACCAGCCTTATATGAGGATATAATGTCTTTATTTCTACATGCTACCTGCCCTAATTTTAAATTTTTCCTCTATCTTTCTACCACTTTCCTCAACTGGGTTTTTGTAGGACATGTAATTTTAAAAGCCATTTCAAATCCCTTATGCAACAAGGTGGATGATAAATACAAGTAATGTCATACATGCTGATGGCTGGTCAGTCCACAAAAGCCTATCTCACACATATGTTGCCTTCTGTTATAAAATTATTTTCTAAGTTCTAATTTGATATAACCGGAATAAATCCCTCCCTCCCCAAACACTGACACAGTGATGTAAAGGGCTCTTTTTTCATCTGTCCACCTACTGGGGGAGTGGAAGAAGGAAGGATGCCTAATGCCTGGCCCAGGGCAGGATCTTCTGCTGGGTAATCAGAGGGTTGGAAAGCAGGGATCAGAAACCAAATCTGTGTGGGTGCCTACAGCCTCCCACCAGCATAAACCTGAGTTGAGCTCTGACCTCTCCAAACTCCCTGGTCACAATAACTGACCCACTGTTTCCCCCTCCACAGTAAAACCAACTGTTGTAAAGATCAGAGTATTTCTATCACAATAAATAGAAAGAGTCTCACAACTCCTCTCCTTTATTTCTATCCCTAAAGCATATACTTGGCTCCTTGGGAATTTCTAAGGGTTTTTCTTTTACAAAAAAGTTAAAAACCAAGAGTAAAAAGCACCCGCTCCTATGCCTCCCAACAGCTTTCACTTCCTTAAATCACTTAAAAAATAAAGAGTCCCACACAGATGCTAAAGACAAGTCCTTATACAAAGTACTAGGTCAAATTCATCTTGAGGATTTCCTTCCAGGGAAAAGCAGACTAAGTCTGTGCTATTTCAGTGTACCAGAGACCATGGGATTTGAAAGGGGAGCAAAACAGAGGGAGTGTATTTACAACTTACCAAATCAGTTAGCCCAGCTAAAGCAAAAACTCCTAGTGCAATATTAAAATCCTCTTCAATAATCAAATAGCCCAAAACTGGGGCCAAGCCAATTCTTGTCATTGACAACATATTTGGGATTGTCCATGGGTTTTCATACTGAAACACAAAAGACAACAAAACTTAAATTAAATGCTATGAATTCATACTTTAACTATATTAGAAAAATACACCAAAAATTACACCAACTTTGGAGTCAGAAGCTACATAAACTTTAAATTTGGTACTCTGAATTTTAAAATCCATTCTGTTGTTTACAGACCATAGCTCTAAAACTGTCCAGAACACAGAAGATGAAGATATGTCATATGCCCACAGAGTAAACTGTCTGCTATATATACAGTGTGTGTATATATACACACATACTTCCTAAAGAGAGAAAAGAACAAACATGTATTATTTACCATATAGGTCAAGGCTTTAATATAGGACTTTATGATTAGAATTCAAACTTTACAACACTCTGCTTTTTAAAAGTATAACCTCAAGAAGATCTTATACTTCAAATAAACAGTCTAGAAAGTGTTAAAAAAAAAAAAAAAAAAGCCAAATTATCAACCCCAGGCATTTTGGCTTAAAATGTTTAAGCCCTCTGCACATACCCATCAAAAGAAAGCTAAATGTTATACAGTGTATGGACATATGATGAAAACGAAAGAAAATTTAATTCCATGATCTCATCACTAAATGGATAATTGCTGGAAGAAAATGGGGCTGGAAATAGGGATTGAGATCCTTGGGAAATAAAGAGGAATTTTGTAAATCTGTTCAAAATACCCATGAAAATGAAATGTTAAGATTCCCACCTAGAATCTGAGGGCTTTAAGATTCCTTGAAACTTTATTTGGAGCCAAGCTGTTTGAAGCTGGGACTAACAAAAGGGCTCTTTGGCAGCTACTATGAAGAACATTACTTCCTTGCCAAACAAAATCTGTTTCATGAGAATATTTCAACTTTAAAAGCCTCGCCCTAGTGGAGCTAAGATACCCTGCCCAACAGGATACAGAAATAATACCAAGAAAACGTCTCCCTAAAGCCTGGACTTTTTCTCCACTGGTGAAGGTTGCCAACTCAACCCCATGGGACTATCTACTCACAAACTAACCCTACTCTTAATCAGTAACGAATTAATCTGAACCTTAACTTAGATTTTTTTAAAAAGTGAGTTTCCATTTCTAAAGAAATCTTTTAAAATTCCATGAACCATTCCGTAAGAAAAAGCAGTTCTCTAAAGAAACTAAATTTGTGTTTATAAACAAGCTGGTAAGAAATGTTCACCTTAGTTTGGAGGGCAGAAACTGCAATTGAAAGCTACAGAAAAACTTCAAATTCTCCAGGAAACAATCACGAAACAAGAAGCAGTACAAACCTCTACTCAAGGACCCTTAACTGAAAGTAGACCACATTATGTAATTAAACGGGAAAATTCTGGGAACATATTCCAAATTTAAGTTCAAAGGTCAGAGTGTTTCAGAATCCAGAGGAAAAAAGATAAGTCTGTTTACCATAATGTGGTACAGAGTAAGTCAAACACTTACCCAATGTTACAGCAACTCAGAGGGCGAATAAAAAAACAACATAGTTCATGATTGAGAAAAAGGAATCACAAAGGAAAAGGTCAAAATAGAGTCCCAAAATTAATGTCAGAAATATCCATAGCGCAAAATTAAAGACAAAGTTGCAAATAGCCTGATCATTTCACTTGGTGAATTAATCAACAGAACTATAACTGGAACAGTGAGAGTTCTTTTTAGCTCCACATAAAACATTTTAAAGTACCTCATTAATTTCTAATCACTAAATTTGCAAAAGTTTCTAAATTAAAATTAAGAGAGCTAATCTCAGATTACCCAACCAGATAACCTGTGGCATACTCGACCAACTACTGCCGTTCTGGGAAGGACTTCAGCCACCATATGGCAACCTCAAAGCATCCAGCATTCAAACCCGGACATACTTTAGCTATTAGTGGAGCTGAGACCCCGGCCAGGATGTGGCCACCTCAACCCATGCTGTACAACTGATGAAAGCAGTACAAGGGCCCACTGAAGACATAACAATTGAAGATGTAATAATTGCACGAGTCTTGCTAACATGACATCAAAAGCTCTCCCACATTCATGCTCTGGTGTCTTCTGCTTGGGCAGTATTTCAAAAGGTAAGTGGACAAATATCTCGTTCCATTACCTCAAAAAGAAAGTTGTAATCTTTTTCTACAATTAGAGATTAAAGAACCCTTTAATTAGGACTTATTTATCTTTCATCTTATAATATATAAGGTTACCAAAAGTCAGATGATAGTGAACCAAACCTACACAAGCCAACAGGCTTGTATACTTTTCTAAAGATTCCTACTGACTTGTCCTAAACATTGGGGAATGGCTTCAGAGAATTAAAAATTGACTTAATAAGACAAGTGAAGACTATTTTTACCAATGCAATATCCTGAGGCCGATCCCGCTAAAGGTGCGGACCGAAAGGGGGGTAGGGAAGGAGAGATTCTAACTTGACCGCCGAGACTGAAGATGGACTCGGTTAGCACCCCTGAAATTCATCCCAACTGAATGACCTCCCCGTTACTCCTCTTCAGGGAACGGTTTACAAGTTCTGGAACGGAAACGTCTGACTTGAGCCAGTCAGAGCACGTTATTCACGTCCAAGTCCGATCCCCGTGAGGGCCCGCGACCCCGACCCAGGGTTGCCCCTCCGCCTCCTCCTCGGTACGTACCAGGCTGGCGGCGCTCGCCTGGCTCCATCGGCCGCTCCCGGGCTCCGCCGCGGCGTCCCCTCCAGCTGCGGGCTCGGGAGCCGCCTTCCCCGCGCCAGAGCAGTGGCCCCGTGGGCCGGCCCCAGGCAGCCGCAGGCCGAGCGCGGCCGGGCGCAGCCACCAGCGCTCCACCAGGCAGCCGAGGCAGCCGGGCACCGAGCGCAGCAGAGCCCCGCGGGCGCGCCCCTTGCCCGGCCGCACCCCTGGCGTCCATGCCGCGCCGCGAAGGACCCCCCACGAGCCGCGCGCCACGCGCGAAGCCAGCATGGCCTTGCCGCCGCGCCGCGAGGAGACAGGCGGCGAGAGCTCAGCAGCCTGGGGCACCGGCGAGCCGCCTCTCCATAGAGTCCCCGCAAAGCCCGAGAAGCTCGGCTGCCTCCATTGCCGTTTTCAAACCCCAGCACGCTTCGCCTATACAGGTGGCCGGGAGCCGCCAAGGACGGACGCCTTCGCGACGCTTTTGCGACACCGTCGGCGCTGGGCTTCCCAGCGCCCCCGGCGGTAGCAGGAGGAGCGTGCCGTTAGGCGCCGTGGGCTTCGGGGAACCGCAAGCTGCGATTGCTGGCTTTTCTGCGCACACGGTCGGGAGCTGAGGTCCGCGGGGAGGGGAGGACAGGAACTAGCAGGGCTGGGTGATGGCGCAGCCGATGTGACCGGAGAGCGCAGGAGCCGTCTCGGGCCTCGGCCTGAAACCCTCCGAGGCCCGTGGCCTGCAGAAGGGCCCCCTCCGAGGTGTGTGCAGCGCTCCGGGGGTACTCGTGGCTGGTTTAAATATTAGTGAAGTGTCTGGTACAGAAGTCATTAATACAAGCTCCCTGCCCTTTTCCCTCTTCTGAGCGTTTCATAAGCCAAAAATATGGGTATTAGAAAATGACAATAGTATCAATTACTAATTGTTTACCAGGAAAGTGTTTACTACAGCTTGGTTCTAGCGCATTTAATCCTCCCAGCAACTCCAAAATAGGTTCCATTATTACCTTTACTTTTAGAGATAAGGGAATTTAGGCTTAGAGAATGGTTAAGAAACTTGCTTATTAGAGGAATATCCAAAAATAATTAAGAATGAGTTCGTCATTGATTAATATGCATTATTAATATTGCAATTATATTAGTTACTGATATTATGCATTAATATTGCAGTGTTGCAGAACTGTTTTCTTGAGTTCTGTGTCAAATTGGATTTGAATGGTTCTTGCTGCCTCGGCGCTATCCCCCCGCCCTTGTCTGTGATGACAGACCCACCTTAAAGTTGATCTTGAACTCTTGGTTCAGGTAGTTAGGAAAGGAAAAGACCAACTGAATTTGAAAATCATTGTAGATCTGAGTATTTATCAAAAGAAATCTTTAATTTCTTATGCACTTACTGAAATACTGACATTGAGAGAAAAGCTAAACTTTCTGTACTAGGAATGTAAAAAGAATAATTTTTTTGAAAATAATCATCTTGTAATCAAATACCTACAGTTCTCATAGACATTAGATAATCCTGTCAAGTGAGAATGGGCAGTATTTCAGCCTCTCCTGTGCTTTTCACTCACTGAATTGCCTTTATTCACGCTTTCCACTTCTTCCTAATTTAAGACAGTTTCTCACTGTTTTTTGGGATTTTTCTTCTCTCTGCTCCACAAGTGTTCCTGCTGCGTCTGCCTGTAATAGTTGGCGCTCTGTGGTCTTTTCTCTTACTGTGGTAATCATTTCCTAGTATATACTTGTTTCAAATCATCATGTTAAATGTACACAGTGATGTATGTCAATTATAGATCAAATAAAGCTGGAAAAAATTTTAATAAAATATAGTAAACTAGGTTATATATATATATATATATATTTTTTTTTTTTAAAAGAAAGCCAACTTTACTAGGGACTACTGATAGTACTGCTAAGTATAAAATAGGACAGTAAGGTGTCTGGCATTTTGGCCTAAAGGACAATGACAGCTTAATACATAGGACTAAAAACTAGGGGTGCTTGGCTGGCTTAGTCAGTGGAGCATGCGATTTGGGGATTGTGAGTTTGAGCCCCATATTGGGTGTAGAGATTACTTAAAAATCTTAAAAAATAAATAAATAAAAAATGAGTAACAGTGCTTCTAGCAATGCATTTCCCTAACATTTTAAGACAGAAGAAGATCCAAGTATTAGTCTCTGATTTCATTTTCTAGAACATGACAGGTGTCAATAAATGAACACGTTAATCTGGGATGAAGGATGGAGAAAAATGCAGAAACCCCGGAAAACAATTCCAGATATAAGATAGTAGGTGCATTCAGTAAATAAAGAGTGTAACATATTTCCTAACATAGTTTGGAGGAAGGCAGAGGAAACCTAAAAATTCTACAGTTAGTATTTGTTTTATAATAAGTTCATTTTCTCTTATAAATACTATGATTGTTAATTTCTATCCAGTAAGATTAATTAAATAGGTGGGCAGCTCACATGTCTGAGGGGATTGGGAATCTCTGTCACTGAACTTTTTCCTCAAATTGGGAAAAAATAATTAGAAAAGTAAGTCTGTAACAAAAATCCAAATAAAAATCCCTATGTAGGGCACCTGGATGGCTCAGTTGGTTAAGTGTCTTCCACTCAGATCATGATCTCAGGGTCCTGGGATCAAGACCTGCGTAGTCGTAGTCGGCAGGCTCCCTGCTCAGCAGGGTGTCTGCTTCTTCCTCTGCCTTTCCCCCTGCTCCCTGCTCGTACTCTCTCTCTCAAATAAATAAAATCCTTTTTAAAAATCCATATGTAAACCCTAAGTTTCATGCTTGAAATTAATTTCAAATTTTTATCTCTCTACCTTTTTTATTAGAATTATTTTTTTAAAAAGCAAAATATACTAGTCAAGTATCTTATCCCAACTTCCCAAGTCAATCATGTAAGTGCTAACATTAAGATAAGAAAAGAATATGAAAAGAAAAAGGATTGTAAATAATTAACTTTGGATAATTAGCCAGTTGACAGTGTACTTTAGTTCTTTGAAAACATAAATGCTATTAACAGCCACTAATATCTATTGTGCAATCACAGCTATACTGTATTTGGCTCCTTATCCTTTAATTGATCTTTTGCTGAGGAAGTTGTAAAAATAAAAATCCTGCCCTTAGAAGAGTAGTAGTATCTTGCCACTTTTATGCTTTCCTTGGTAAGTTGCAAAGCACTGAAGGTCTGACTGCTAAATAAACACATCTTAGGCTTTTGAAAATTCTGTAACCCAATCATTCTTTCTCACGTGTCACTTCTATTTGAAGTGTAAGTTTTTTTGGGAAAAAAAACTCTTATCCCAAATCTATTAATATTTTCTGTCTATTGATAAATTGACAAACTAGAAATATATTTGCCCTCCCCTTATATCAGATATACAATGAGGCATATGTTTGTTATTTATAATAAGTTTTTTAGTCTGGGACATACTAAACTTGAGCCACTTTCCGTTCCTTGGGGACCAGAAGAAAATAGTGATAATACAAAGAAGTAGCTTTGCAAATGGATCTTATATAAATAATAATGGTTGGAAGTTAAAGCAAACCAGAAAATTGAAATTGTTTCTCTAGGAATCAAGTTAAATCTTGTAGGAGTGAACCCTAATTATTGACACTAAAGCCAGTATCTAGTAACTGGTAACTCAAATGAGGCGCAGGTTTAAATCATTGTAATAAACACACCAGCAGCCTTAAATAGGAAGGAATAAAATGATTGGATTTAGATTCAAAACACAAGAGAGGGAATTAGTGGTAGGGCCAAGCTCCTCAGGACTTGCAGAGATTAGCTCCACCTAAACTCTATAATTTAGCTCACTCTTTAATTTACTAAGAGATTAAATTACTAAGAGATCTAAACTATTTTTTTTGTCAACTTATAGTGCTAACTTTTCATAATTCCTTCCCACAAAAGTACTGCTGGTACTAGAACCATCAGGTCTCCACCTAAGAGTTTTAGGCAGTCCATTCTTGTAGGAACCTTTAAAGGAAATAAAAATGCTCAGAGGCAGGCACTACCTACAAGCAGGGAAGTCAAAAGGTTGGTTTCAATATATTTACCCTCTTCCCTTTGTAATATTTTAAAAAGTAACAAAGGGATTTTTTTTTAACATTATTTAGTGTATGACTTGCTTTATTTTCCATTCTATTCCTCCTTCCTGTCAAAAATTTAAGAATCTTGTTTTCTTTTTTGTGGCTTATGGTGCCCTGTTTTAATGTTATTATCTATCCTTTCTATTTCAGGACAAATGACTGAATTTTGGAAGGTGAGAAATCACCTTCATTCCCCACCAGAAAAAAATTAAACCAATGCTGTGGACTCCCGCAGTGATTTACTTCTGAGAGAAACCTTCAAATATGAGCACAAGGTAATTTTTTTTTTCCTCCACGGAACAGTTGTTGCTGTTCCTATTTTTATAAACCATGTCTCCCTACAACTCAGCATTAATTTTTTTCCAGTTGAATCAGGTTATTTAATAACCTTATTTCTGGTGCACATGCTGATACATAGGATAAGACGGTACAGGGCTGGCAGCTCAGTACTGATCACATTAAAACCAGTTGTGTTTCTGGCAAAATTGGAGTTAGAATAGGTTCCTTCTGACATTATGAGCAAAGTACAGGGCTGGATCCCTTCTGAAATATTTTTCACTGTTTTCTCATTAAAACTGAGATTTTACCCAGTTAAACTAGGTGTTACCAAAGTAAGGTCAACTTGTGTAGACGTCAGCCAGAGTTTGGGATGGATTTTCTGATACTAAAGCCACCCTCTCTCTTCTGTTCTTATCAATTCCAAGCCCATTTCCCAGGAGGCAAATTAGCCTAAAAGTATTCTTTTTTTTTTTCCACAAACACTTAGAAAATTGTTGTATACCAGTCATGTCCTAGATTCTAGGCAATCTGCACATGTCTCTGTTCTCAGAGAACTTTTTTTTTTTAAAGATTTTATTTATTTGACAGAGAGAGACACAGCGGTAGAGGGAACACAAGCAGGGAGAGTGGGAGAGGGAGAAGCAGGCTCCCCACTGAACAGAGAGCCCGATGTGGGGCTCAGTCCCAGGACCCTGAAATCATGACCTGAGCCGAAGGCAGACGCTTAACGACTGAGCCACCCAGGCGCCCCTGTTCTCAGAGAACTTACATGATTGCACACTATCTAGACTCCAGCCCCTAGAAGATAAAAAAAATGTCTTCCAAGGAATGTTTTCCAGACCTATAGAATCTGGTAAAAGCTATAAAACATATGCAACACAAATTTCGTGTAAAATTTAAAGGAATCCTGTCACCAAGAGACCCACTCACCAACCCCAAAGAAAGAACCACTAGGCAGTGCTCACTCAACCCTGTGTTCAGAGTTCAGGTGGTCTTATGAGCCCTTTGCCATGTTCCCAAGAGTCAGGTCTTGTGCTTTTTCTCTACAGCCCCTAATCTCATATATTAGGTGGAGAAAACACAGGGATATCACCTCAACTTTTCTTTTAGGGGTATTAACTTAGCAACCCAGAAATTCTGGTGCCTCCTGTTTTATTCTTGGCCTTGGTGAAGGTATGTGACCTTTCTCTGAGAACGGCCAGAGGGGCATCTGGTCCCTTACCAAGAACCTCTAGTCTAGCTGCTGTTTAGGTAACCTCTGATGGTAGAGAACTACAGCCAAAGGGGGGAGAAGGGGCATCTTATGGTCTCATAGGGGAGGTGCCAATAACAAATGTTAAAAACTTCCACAACTGAAATTTTAGCTGAGAGGTCTTTTTTTTCACTGAGCGATTCTCCAAAATTCAGAGAGCAGGAGACAACAGAATGACATGACTTACCTTTTTTTTTTCCCCAAGCTGGTTTTCAGTGTCATGACTACATTTCAGCTCCTACTGTTAGAACACCGTGTGTAAGATGTTGTATTAGTGTCCTGTTGCTCTTGCAACACATTGCCACAAACTGCCTTCACACAAATTTATGACCTTACAGCTCTGTAGGTCAGAGTCTGACGCGGGTCTCCCTGGGCTTTAAACATCAGTGCACTGGCAAAGCTGTTGTTTTCTTGCCTTTTCCAGATTCTAGAGCCCACCCACATTCATTGTCTGATGCCTCCCTCCTCCGTTGGAAAAGCCAACGGTGTTGCATCTGTTGTGCTTTTTCCTGTAGTCACATCTTCCTCTCGCTGACGCTGCCCTTCTACCTCCCTCTGCCATTTCTAAAGTTCCTCCTAATTATATCAGGCCTGCCTCCCAATTTTAGGGTCAGCTGACTAGCAACCTTAATTTTCCTTTGCCATGTAACCTAACATAGTCACAGGTTCTGGGCACTAGACTGGGAATGAAGGAAGCTGTACATACACATGGTAACTAATTCCACCGTGGAGAAGAGCTGATGATGGAAATCAGTAGGTACACTCTGCCTTTCCATCCCCAGACCCACTCCCCAGAGCAAACCGATTATAGCTTGTCTGTTTTTAGTTCTTCTGAGGGCTGCCTCCATAACTTTAAATAAAGCCGTATGCAGTCTTTGTGAATTAATACTGCCTCCTGACTGTAAGTATTGTATATGATCTCAGTGGAATGCTTTGGATAAGGGTGTATCCGTGAGGGCTTAGTTGCAGGAAACACAAACCACTGTGGCCACAGTAAAAAGAAGGATTGCAAAATGGAATTGGGTGCTTGTAGGATTGTTGGAAGGGCTGGAGGAATGGGTGCTCCATGCTGGGTCTCCAGAACTGACTCCCAGGAAAAGGTTGCAGGTCTGGCTTGCTGCAGGAGCTGCTACCCCCACAACAGTGAGAAAGGTGGAGAATGGGGTTTGCTGCCATCACACCACAGCTGCCTCTCCCTGACTGCTAGAATTTGGCTGCAGAGAAATTAAATGTCTCAACTACACATGCCACCGGAAAACAAGCCAGAGGAAGATGGCTCTCTCTTCACTTCCACCTTCCAAATCTCACACAGGACATCTAGTCAGTGCAATCCAACTCACACTCAGAACGCTGGCTGCAAAAGGATTTTGGGAAACGTCTCTTTGCTTCCTAGTTTCTGCATGATAGGAAGGCACACTAGAGGTAGGAATGAAGGTTGGGTATCAAATCACCCTATTCATGACCTTCACCTCTTTGGCTAGGCAATATGCATATACAAAATTCTACCCATTCGTAACCTTCTGTATAACAAGAGCAACTACAACACGTTAATGCAAGGACCATATTTCCCTCCTTTATAAAATGAGAGTTATTTATACAGGCCCATCACTGACTATGTGGTGCATATTCCTCTTCTATTTCAGCTACATTCTCACCTTGATAACCTCTATCCTAAGGACTAAATTATCAAGTTAATTATCACCAGTCCACTTAAAACACTAGAGGAAAATAAGGAGGGAAGGCAAATTGGTTAATGTACAGTGCAGACCCTTCCCCAGCTGGTCACGAGGGTCATGAGGTTGTCGTTAATGTTTAGAACTATCTTCCTCCATTCCCATTCCTTACTCCCTTTTTGCTCAGTCAGCATCTCAGCTGCTCTGGATTCTTTACCTGGTAGCGACTCAAAGCTTCGTTCCCGAGGAGTCTGAGCCTTTAGAGATCCTGCCTGTAGCCTTCCATCACCCCTTACTGGTGGATGTGAATATAGTAGGAGCTGCCCCAGAAGATTCTCTGAGATCAGAAATGTCCTCCATGCCCACATTTATAAGAGTGACTCAGTTTCCCCCTCATTCTCAGGTACAAACCCATGAATGTCTTTTTGTTTTCTACGTCATAGGCGTAAGAACCCAGTGTGTTTAGGTGCCAGTCTCAACTTCCAGTTCAATGGAGCCATTGCTGTGTCCTCTGACAGACATTATTGCCCCTTTAGATGGTAAGACCTCTAGCGGGTAAAGCCTAATATTATGGGGATGCAAAACAAAACTTTATGAATGGTCATTAGAAGTAACAGTGAAACCGTTCTAAAATTTGCACCTTGTTTCCTAGGCCCGTGTATTCTGGCTGTGGGAGAAACAGAACCAAGAAGTGGTCACTAGCTTGAAGTTCACGAAGGACAGCACCCCAGACTTGCAAGGTGTTGTCATCATCACTGAATCTTCATTGTCCTTTCCAATGTCCCCTAAGGCCAGATGCTTTTGGGTAATGGGGTACATAGTAAAGACAGTAGCATATGAACTTCAGCCCATTGCCTTACTTCTTCAGGCATTAAAGGACTTTGTCAGGAGGAATATTATGTGGGATAGCATGATGACGAATTCACATACGGCATTGCTGAAAGGAGCCAGGCAGGAGGGGCAGACATCTGAAATAAGCTCCCTTCCCACCCTCAGTGAAAACAAACCGCTGCTCCCTGGAGGCCCAGTGATCAGCCACCAAGTGGCAAGCTAGTCCCCTTGAAGCATGGTACTGTGTTATTTCAGGGTAGGTCGCTCCGCTGGCAAATCAGATACTCAGCAATGGTGATAGTCTATGTCACCCTTGGTGAGGGGAGGTTTAGGCTTGGTCAGCACAAGCCTGGCTGCCAACCTTGGCCTCATGGACACTGTGTTCATGAATTCATTGAGCAAGGACTGGGGTGGCTAGAGAGAAAGAGACTAGCTGGCATTCATGGAATAGGTGACATCCATTAATTGTGAAGCTCCTTTAGTGAGAATATCTTTGGACACAGATATTCTCATACTCAGAGCACATTCTGAGACGCTCATTCACATGCCTCTTCCCCAGAATGACTTTCATTCAGCAAATATTTTACTGCATGCCATTCGTGTGCCAGGTACTGCTATAGGAACAGGGGACTTAACAGTGAAGATGAGAGTAAAAAATTCCTATCCCTATGGAGCTTACATTCTAGCCGGACTAAGGAAACAGGCAAAAAAGGATGAATAAACTACATAGTACATTAGATTGTATTGATTGCTACAGAGAAACAAAAAAAAGGAAGGAAGATAGGGTTGGGGGGAGTGCAGTTTTAAACAGTGTCTAGGAAAGATGGCACTAAGAAGGTGACAGTTGAGTAATGACCCAAAGGAGTTGGGAGGATGAGCCATGTGACTCGGGTGGAAAAGCATATCGGATGGCAGAAACAGCATGTGCGAAGGCCCTCAGATAGGAAATATGCCTGGAATGTTCTAGAACCGGCAGACACCAGCATGGCTGAAGCAGATTGAGTGAGGAACATGAGAGCAGTGGGAATCGAGGTGAGTGTGTGAACATGGGGCAAGATGTGAAAAGCATCGTTCCGTTCAGTAGCTGCTCCCCATAGCTCCACCGCCCCCCATCCACCCCGCTCTAATCTACAGTGGTATTCTTATGAGTTTCCTGGGTTTAGTGTTAGCTTGCAGGTAATATATGATATTTACTTTAGGTGTATCTTGCATACTACAGTTTGTGAACCCTTCTGAAAATCTTTTTGTTTTAATAGGTGAGTTGAGTCCATTTGCATTTATTAATGTGACATATTTAGGTTGTCATGAATGTTAGGCTCTTATTTTAAAAACTTTTCATGATGTAATGTTTTCTTGCTCTGTTTTTGTTTCTGTTCTAAAACTTGTACCTGGGATTTGTTTTAATCAGGTATGGTAAGTTAACAGACATGAGACAACTGCTTTTGGAAAGCATTAATTACATTTACTAAGAGAAGGGGACATACCATGCCACAAAGGGCCACATGGGGAAGCACCCTGGTTGGTCAGGAGGCAAGAGTGAGGGGGAACCCTAGGCCTTTATTGCTATAGTTGTGGGAAGTTTTTAGGTGGGGATGTCCCCTATTGGAGAGGAAGTGAAACACAAATGCTGGGGATTGTGGTTGGAGGCTTTGTTAGTTGCAAAAGCTAGGATCACAGAGGAGATGTAAACAATTTTGGCTGCTAGTTCGGCCTTCTGATTAATGGAGACCAAATGGACAACACAATATGGAAGAAAACCAGAAGAGATTCCTCTGATAATTTATTATCTTTTTCCCTATAACTTTCTATGTTACAACCTTTGACTTTTAAACAGTATTTATTATTTTCTTCTTTGAACACAATGTAGTATATTTATACTCTATGAATATATACACTATCCTACTATATACTATATATGTATACTATATATATACTATGTACTATATGAATACAGCATACAAATATTTATACTATGAGTACAGAATATTAAGTATGTAATAATGTATAGCGTATATATAGTATACTACATTCGTAGTATAAAGATATATAGTGTGTGAGCATACTATTTATGTAGTACATATCCTTGTCCTTTCTCATCTGCCACCTTATTTTGTTTGTTATCTTGAGTTTTTTGTGAAATATGATTTTAATTCTATTAATAGATTTATCAACTATATGTACCTTTTACGCCTCCACCCCAGCCTTTAAAGATGAAGATATCATATTTACACTATTTACCTTCTCCCTCCTTCCTTTTTTTCAAAGTCAGGACTTAGTATTTACATTCTGTTCTATGACAATTATCCTCACACTTATCTTAGTTTTTATCTTACAGTTAAACATTCAATGTACATTGCCAGTTTTTCCTCCTGTTCATCTAGTTTGCTATAAGCGGTCTTTTAGTAGATTCTACAAGAATGGCTCACTTTCTGAGTTCTTGTATGTTAGGAAGTGTTTGTTGCCTTTATATACAAATGGTATTTGTCTGGCAGTCTAGTACCATTTGAACACTCTCATAACAAATGAGAAAGTTTGGCTTTATTGGTCTTGCCTCACTAAAGCAAAACCCAAAAACTTCCCTAGCTTTCTATGGAAGGGCATATAACCTAGCTTTCTTCAATCAGATGTTTCTGAGATTTCTGTTTCAGATGCAGCAACTTGAGGAGACCCCATGAAGAACTCTTTGTTGCTCTTTTGGTGTGGGTGGGGACATTGTTTCTGCCTTTCCCCAGGGGCAGTCATTTCCCAGTGTCCTTGGCACAGAAGTGACATCAATGGGCCATAGAGGCCCAGCACTTCCCTCTAGTGCATTGTGTGGCAGTACAGTGATAATGGATGGCTTCCTCTTCAGATCAATTCTTTCTTTTTTTTAAGATTTTATTTATTTATTTGACAGAGAGAGACAGCGAGAGAGGAAACACAAGCAGGGGGCAGCTGGAGAGGGAGAAGCAGGCTTCCCGCGGAGCAGGGAGCCCGATGCAGGGCTCAATCCCAGGACCCTGGGATCATGACCTGAGCAGAAGGCAGATGATTAACCAACTGAGCCACCCAGGCGCCCCGTTCTCTTCAGGTCAGTTCTAAGGCATGATATTAGAAAGTGCTCCTCGAAGCTTAGCCTTTTGGTTTGCCAGTCTTCCAACAATTCTGTGAGCTAACCAAAATTCTTTAAAAAAAACCAAAAAACTTATCATTTTCCTACTTAATCAAGTCAGTCAGTTTATATTGTTTGCAACCGAGATGCTGCAAACCATAACCAAATGGGCCATATCTGACCCATTACCTACTATTAAATGGTTTTTAAAAATTAAGAATATTTAGTATTCTTAACATGAAATTTTTAGAAATTCAGATTTCATTATTCATGAATAAAATTGTATTGGAACACAACCACACCCATTTATTTATTATCTATAGCTGCTTTAGAGCTAAATGACAGAGTTGAGTATTTGTGACAGAGACCATATAGCCCAGAAAGCCTAAAATTTTCACTCTCTGGCCCTTTACAGAAAAAGTGTGACTCTTGGTTTGCAATTAAGAAACTTGACTGAAACATCTGGGTATAAAGTTCTTTCTTAAAACTCTTGTAGGCATTGCTCCATTGTTTTACTGATGAATATTGCTTTGGAGAAATTTGAGAACAGCCAGATTTTTTTTCTCCTTCAAGGTGGCTTATCTGTGTGACTTCTCATTCAACCTCTCTTCGTCTATTTCTTGTGCTCCAGCAAGACCCTGAGAAGCTGCTGTTGCCAACCTGTGTGACATAGCCACACTATTGTGAACGGGGTTTTCCTTTTTGCCCCAAAAGGTGTGTAAAGTATATTTTAATTAAGAAATACGCTTTGTTGGTTTCTTCTACAGTATTCACCACCAGGCATCATCTCAGCCTCTTCCCTCTTGTAAGGCTGCCTGGGTCATCCTGATAGCTTTTGGCAGCTCTTCCTAGTGTGTTGGGGTTTGAGAATTCAGTTGTCTTCTAGTTCACAGAAAATGGACTATATATTTTTATTTTTCAGTTTCCTTATTGGTTTTGGGCAACTTCACAGGAGAGAAAGGGGAGAATGCCTCCATCTGTTGCTAGAAAACGTTTTTATTCTCTTGAAATTTTTCATATTCTTAAATCAAGTTGCTTACCTACTTTGGTTAAGTTCTGTGTCATCATTTATAAGGGCTATAATCACCCACTGTATGTGTATTGACTTCATAGGGGTATGTGTCAGAATCTGTTTTACCTGTTGGGGCAGCAGCAGCAGAATAAAGCGAAGTCTTTGTCCTTACAAAATGAGACAAAAGATGTGTCTTGGTCCAGAATAGTGGAACTGGAAGTAATTAAAAGTGCTGAATTTGTTGATGGACTAATATGAGGATAAGAGGGGGGAAAAAAAGAGGTAAAGATAACACCAATATTTTTGGCATGAGAAACCACCAGGATAGTTATTAAATATTATAAAATTTCAGAATACCTGGGAAAAGGGAAGATCCAAGTACCTTCTCAAGAAGAAAAAAAAGATCATGTGCCAAGAATAAAAATCATAATGGCCTTGAATTTCTAAACAGAAACACCGAAAACTAAAAACAATAGAGCAACATCTATTTTTAGTTTTACAAACTAAAATTCTATGCCCAAACTATCAATCCAGGGGTAAGGGTAGAATTTGCCATGTGAACTCTTTCTCAGGAAGCTACTAGAAGATGGGTTCTACCAAAAGGAGGCAGGGAAACAAGAAAGAGGAAGACATAAAAGTCAGGAAATGGGACAGAAAATGAGAAGTCCCAAAATGACAGCTGTGTAATTCAGACTGGAAAACGCTAGAGAAATCCAGGAGAGAGGTCTCCAAGAAATTAAAATAGACTATTTGATTTGTTTGCATGTTCTGAGAGGAGACACAGACTTGCAGTGGAGCCTTTGGGCCATATTAGTGGTAGATACAGAGAAAGCTAAGTAGTTGAAAAATTAATTATTAACTCTAAGGAAAACAAAAGTCCAGTACAAGAAAGGAGATGAGTAATATTCAATAGTCATAATAATGTTGAGGCTATAGATTTAACATAAGATCATGACATATAACTAAATTTAACATAAACACAAACAATGAATCATGGAACACAACATCAAAAACTAATGATGTAATGTATGGTGATTAACATAACAATAAAATTTTTAAAAATTTTTAACATAAAATCATGACATACAACTAAATTGGAACAAAATGGGAAAGTGTGTGTGTGTGTGTGTGTGTGTGTGTGTGTGTGTGGGCATGCAGAAGGGTTTAGGAGAAGAGCATTCTCACCTCTCACCTTCTGTGTAGTAAGTTAATGAGGCTGCTTGGTTTTAATATAAGCCTTGCACAGCTATTGACTTAAAACAGGTACATATTTAACTTCAGTAATGGAACATAATATTTTAAATTTTTTTTCAGTAGCTAAGATGTTAAATATGTCAATATAAAATATTTCCAATTTTTTTTGGAATTGAAAGTTGGTTTTAATTTATTTCTGAAGGATATTCAGTATTTGTATGTCAGAACTCTTTAAACATTAAGATGTAACTGCAAATACCCAGATGAACATTTAATAAAAAAACTATAAAGTATTTATAAGAATAAAAGAGGTCAAAAATAAAACTATGAAAATATATATCATTTAAAAATCTAAACAATTTATTTTTAATCTTTCAGAAAAGCTGTAAATATAAAGCACGTGATTTTATCACTTCTTAAATACCACTCTTTTCCTATTACATTACTTTTAGGATGTCATTTCCTAGAGAATATTCTTTTTTTTAAAAAACGTATTCTTTATTACCAAGATGGTTTTAACCGGAGGTGCTGGTTTGGTAGTCCTTTTACATAGTTTGAAGCTGGTAAACCTTTGGGCCTTTTTTTAAGAGGTAACCTTGGTCATTTAATGATCCAATAAAATTTTCAAAATCAGCAACCTGGAATAAAATATCAAAAAACAGCCCATTAAGTAATATGCAAAAATATTATTTATAAAATGAATCTCTCAAACAGAAATATACAATTCTCAAGTTTCTTGGGCAAATAAATTTATTTGTATTTCCTCATAGAGAAAACTGCTAACATATGAGCTTTCAATTCTTTTTTTTTTTTTTAAGATTTTATTTATTTATTAGAGATCGAGTGAGGGAGAAACAGCATGAGAGGGGAGAGAGTCAGAGGGAGAAGCAGGCTCCCCACTGAGCTGGGAGCCCGATGTGGGACTCGATCCCAGGACTCCGGGATCATGACCTGAGCCGAAGGCAGTCGCTTAACCAACTGAGCCACCCAGGTGCCCATGAGCTTTCAATTCTATTATGAGATTCTATTCGATTAGCTAAGCTAATAAAAAATAAAAACTCCAGTATCTAGAATATTTTTTAAAAAGATTTTATTTATTAGAGAGAGAGTGAGCGAGAGAGAGCACAAGCTGGGGGAGAGGCAGAGGGAGAGGGAGAAGCAGACTCCCCGCTGAGCAGGGAGCCTGATATGGGGCTTGATCCCAGGGCCCCGGGATCATGACCTGAGCCAAAGGCAGATGCTTAACTGACTGAACCACCCAGGCGCCCCCAGAGTATTTTATATTTGTTTTAGATTAGCTTCAAAACAAAAATTAGACTAGCTTCAAATCTGAAATGAAGTGGGCAATTTTCCATATAAACTATGTGCTTAAAGTTGTATTACATTCCAATTTCACTAAAACTTTTAAGTAGGTAGAGAAGGTGGAATCATGTCTATTTAACAAATGAGGAAACTGAGATTCAAAGATGTTAAGATGACTTGCCCACAAGGGATTGTCAGAGAAACATGGAAAGTGAGTCTTGCTAGGTTTCTCCCAACTGTCAAGATACTAAAAAAGGGTAGGTATGTATTTTAGATAGAAACTTTTTTTTTTTTAAAGCTCTGAGCAGCTCATTTCATAGCTTAAATAGAGAAAATAAGCTTATATTTTGAAATACTCCAAAAAAGCCTCTTCCATTTTTTTATCCAAATCTTTTATTACTTTTTCAATCTCCATTTTATTTTTTTAATTTTAATTCCAGTAATAGGTGTTATGTTCATTTCAGGTGTACAATAGTGTGATTCAACAATTCCACATATTATTCAGTGTTCCTCATGATAAGTGTAGTTTTGTTTAAAGATTTCTTTTTATCTTTTTCTAAAGATTTACTTATTTGAGAGGGAACACACATGTGATCAAGCACGTACGGGGGTGGGTGGGACAGAGGGAAAGAGGGAGAGAGAATCTCAAGCAGACACACTCCCTGCTGAGTGCAGAGCCCAACTCAGGGCTCAGTCTCAACACCCTGAGATCATGGCCTGAGCCAAATCAAGAGTGAGATGCTTAACCGACTGAGCCACCCAGGCACACCTAAAGATTTTATTTAAGTAATCTCTACACCCAGGTGTGGGGCTTGAACTTGCAATGCTGAGATCAAGACTTGCATGCCCCACTGACTGAGTCAACCAGGTATCCTTGATAAAGTGTACTTTTAATCCCCTTCATCTATTTCACCCATCCCCTCCCCCACCTCCCTCTGGTAACCATCTGTTCTCTATAGTTAGGAGTTTGTTTTTGGTTTGTCTTTCTCTCCGTTTTTTTTTTTTTTAAGATTTTTATTTATTTATTTGAGAGAGAGATAGCAGAGAGGGAGAAGCAGACTTCTGCGGGGCTCGATCCCAGGACCCTGAGATCATGACCCGAGCTGAAGGCAGATGCCCAACCGACTGAGCCACCCAGGCGCCCCTTGTTCGTTTGTTTTGTTTCTAAAATTCCATATATGAGTGAAATCATATGGTATTTGTCTTTCTCTGACTTATTTCACTTAGCATTATACTCTCTAGCTCCATCCACGTTGTTGCAAATGGCAAGATTTCATTCTTTTTTATGGCTGAGTAATATTCCAGTGTGTGAGTGTGTGTACTGCATCTTCTTTATCCATTCATCTATTGATGGACACTTAGGTTGCTTCCATAATAATGCTGCGATAAACACGAGTGCATATGACTTTGAATTAGTGTTTTTGTATTCTTTGGGTAAGTGCACAGTAGTGTGATTGCTGGATTACTGGGTAATTCTGTTTTAATTTTTTGAGGAACTTTTGTACTATTTTCCACAGTCATCCAAATCTTTTGATATTTAAGAGTTCTATATTTAATAAAGACCTCATGAGACTGTCATTAAAAGATTAAGTATTTGGTTTATCATACCTGAATGTTTAGCTCTTTGGCAATCTGCCGAAGTTGTTGAAATTGAAATAAATTATTGTAAGTTCTTTCAGCAATGTTGTTGAGAGCAGAAATAAATCTTTTTGCTGTTGACCTGTTGCTCATTCCAGAACCGTGCTGGGATCGCTCAAAATCTAGGTTTCCAAATTCATCAGAATAAGTTCCTAGCATGCTTAATGAGAGAAGAGAAAAACAAAGTTACCCAATGTGGCATGGCTATAAAATTTTTGTCCCAGGTTATAAGAAGAAAAATGTGTAACCAACCATGAGGCTCATGTAGCAAAGATTTAAACATGTACTGATTGAATGGCCACCATGAAATTCACTATGGTATGAACTATGTGGCGATAAAAACATTGGTGGACAGTTACCATTTTTAAGAAACTTATACATTTGAGAAGAGAAAAGCATAAGAATACAAAGTTGATAAACTATGATATAAATACCTGGAACATTCTTTTTGATTCATACAAAAAAGAAATCCTAAACATAGTAAATTTAGGCTTTAGAGGATAAGGATATGTTCCCAGCTCCTAGTGCAGCACCTGACAAATGAAAGATGTTTAAAAATACTGTGGGA